CAGCCATGCCCTCAGTGCTGTGCTGTCTATGGAGTAGCCATTCTTTATTCCTCTACTTTTTTTTTTTTTTTTTTTGAGACGGGTCGTCGCTCTGTCGCCCGGCGAGTCTCAAAAAAAAAAAAAAAAAAAAAAGAGAGAGACATTTTGTGTCTCTGTATAGAAGCCCAAAGTTTAAGAACATACGACCAGGCTAGGCGCGGTGGCTCATGCCAGTAATCCGAGCTTTGGGAAGCTGAGGTAGGAACTCTGGAGGCCAAGTGTTCAAGACCAGCCTGGGTAACACAGTGAGACCCTGTCTCTATGAAAAAAGAGCAGATGACCAGCAAGGTCCCCCTGACCACTGAAGGGTCAGCAACACTGGGAATCAGTAGAATCCCACAGAGGGAATGGTGGGTGAGGGCCTTGCTCTGGCTGCACTGTTGAAAGCCATCTCAGGTCAGCAGTGAACCCCGAGATCTGGGACAGCTGTCCAGGTCAGGCCTCACACCAGAAGGCAGATGAGAGCGGAGAGGAGCTGTCGGCAGGAAGCCCTTGTCTTTAGGCGTCTTGTTCCGTGATGATACGTGTCCTCCCTAGGGCAGCTTGGGAGTTGCCTGCTGCCTTGGGAAATGGAAATGGAGCTATGGGGAGGCCGCTAAAGATGGTTTGGATGGGGTTTTGAAAAGCATGACAGCTTGTCCAGAGTGTTTGTTCTGGGGGCTTAAATAGTGTATATAGACCTTAATATCATTGTCATAACAGCCATTAATTGAGCATTTATGTGCCAGGCATTGTGCATTTTATTTGTTTATTTATTTTGCGAGACAGGGTCTCACTTTATCACCCAGGTTGGAGTGCAGTGGTACAAACATGGCTCACTGCAGCCTTGATTTCCCGGGCTCAAGTGATCCTCCCACCTCAGCCCACTAAGTAGCTGGGACTACAGGTGCATGCCACCATGCTCAGCTAATTTTTATATTTTTTGTAGAGTTTTTGCCATGTTGCCCAGGCTTGTCTCGAACTTCTGAGCTCAAGTGGTCTGTCCGCCTTGGCCTCCCAAAAACCTGGGATCATAGGAGTGAGCCACTGTGCCTGGCATTGTGCACTTTATATTTTTTATAAATATGAACATGGACATAAGCATTTGCTCTTTGCTCAATCCTATGAAATTGGAACTACCATTATCCTATTTTACAGATGAGCAAACTGAGGTTCAGAGAAAGAAGAGCCTCACAGCTGGTTAAGGGGCAGCATTGGGGAGAGAAGCAGCAGGCTGGACACATGAGCAGGACGAGTGGGTGCTGGGGACGCCATAGGGAACATGCCACAGCCCTTGCTTTTGTTTTTGAAAATAACTTTTCTCTGCATAGTGCCCATAGCCCAGGCACTGAAGCCAATGTCTTTTGCTCCTCATCCAGACTCAGTTGAGATTCAAGTCAGGCAAGTGGTAATGAGCCACTGTCCACCATCATTTCATTCCTCTGTCACTCATTCTTTCATCCACTCATTTGACACACATTCGCTGAGAACCTGAATTTGGGCTGGGCATGGTGGCTCAAGCCTGTAATCTCAGCATTTTGGGAGGCTGAGGCAGGAGGATCACTTGAGCCCCAGAGTTCGAGACCAGCCTAGGCAACATGGTGAGATCCTGCCTCTGCAAAAAATTTTAAAAATCAGCCAGGTGTGGTGGTGCACACCTGTAATCCTAGCTACCCAGGAGGCTGAGGTAGGAGGATCTCTTGAGCCCAGGAGTTTCAGGCTGCAGTGAGCTATGATTGCCCCACTGCACTTTAGCCTCGGTGACAAGGAGAGACCCTGTCTCTGGAAAAGAAAAGAAATAAAAAAAGACAGAGAGAGAGAACCTGAATTTGGCTAGGCACTGCATTGAAATAATGAATGAGGCTGGGTCCCTGCCCAGGGTCATTGCAACTGGATGGGCCCCTGAGCATCAGGGTATCAGGAGATTGTCACCAGGCTATGTGTGGCTCATACCCATGTGATTGGTGTCCTGGGAACCTTCATTCTGCCATCAGCCTGGTGGAGATGGGAGGGGTCTTGGAATCACTTCTGGGGGCTGGAAACCTCAATGCCTGGTTCACTCACTGTGTGTTTGTTTTCCATAAACCCCAGCAGTCCTCTTCTGCCCGTGCAGGTCTTTCTCTTTGCTGGGCTGGTGCTCACAGCTCACCTTCTCAGTTTCCACTTCAATGTCTCTTGGGAGTGATTTTCCCTCCATCCCCATTGCAGATCCTCAGGGACCTGCTCTAGTTGGCAAATAAGCTCTCGCTCCCCCTAAACACCCATCCTTCCTTCCCAGCTGCCTTCCTACATATTGTCATTATGGTGAAAAATATGCAAATAACTTTGAACAACAGTTTCCCAGCAGACGGGTGTTCAAAAATGTAATAAATTAACCCCATAATGTAATCTGGATCCCGTGACCATCCATCATGCTGATACGATTAAGATATGCAAAACCAGATGCTGAGGAGCCCATGAATGGAGCGTTGGCAGAGCTCCCCGGATGGGCCCATGCTGACTCGGCCCCCTGCCCCTGCTCCCACCCCCATGGAACCTGAGGCCATCAGAGGTTTAGGGAACATCTGTCTGGCCTGTTCATTTCACTAATGAGACTGAAGCCTTTTGGGGGTTTGGGGTCAGATCGGTTTGAATCCCTACCCATCTGCTTCCTAGCCCACCTTCCTTCTGTTTGTGATTGGATCTGAACCCAAGGCCCCAAACCCAGACTTTTTTTTTTTTTTTTGAGATGGAGTTTTTGCTCTTGTTGCCCAGGCTGGAGTGCAATGGTGCGATCTTGGATCTCAGCTCACCACAACCTCCGCCTCCCGGGTTCAAGCGATTCTCCTGCCTCAACTTCCCGAGTAGCTGGGATTACAGGCATGTGCCACCACGCCTGGCTAATTTTGTATTTTTAGTAGACACAGGGTTTCTCCATGTTGGTCAGGTTGATCTCGAACTCCTGACCTCAGGTGATCTGCCCGCCTCAGCCTCCCAAAGTGCGGGGATTACAGGCATGAGCCACCCACCGCACCCAGCTGACATTTTTTTTTAATTGCAATAATTTTGGGTTACATGGATACGTTCTTTAGCGGTGACTGCTGAGATTTTGGTGCACCCGTCACCTGAGCAGTGTAGACTGTACCCAATACATAGTCTTTTGTCCCTCACCTCCCCACCCTTCCCCTAGAGTCCCCAAAGTTCAATATATCATTCCTATGCCTTTGCATCGCCATAGGTTAACTCCCACTTACAAGTGAGAACATACGAACTTTGCAAACCCAGATATTTTTATCCACAGGTTTCTAGTTGACAAGGTGGGTACCCCAGTGTCAAAAGCTGTTGGGACCTCAGTTTCCCCAAGGAAAAATGAGGGTTGAGTTTATGTCCCCCAAGGTTTTTCTCACGTTCTTAGCTCTGTGTGTCAGGAATTCTATGGGTGGCTTGTATTGTGTCTTCTCGGGGCAGAGGGCTGGGGCTGGGAGTCCATGGACGGAGGGCCTGACTTGAGCCCCGGTGCCCCTCACACTGTGTCCTGAAGGCCATCCCACAGGAGTCACCTGACTCTCAGTTTCCCCACCCCAGGCCCCAGTCTGAAGGGCTCCTTTGCAAGGAGTTGCCCCCTATGACCGCCACTGCCTGTCACCAATACAAAAGCTGCTTAAGCAGCCTCCAGAGAGGGAAAGGAAAGACGCTTGTTTTTCCCAAGTTCTGTAATGAGTCAATCTCAGGGAACCACAGGACACTGTCTATAAGCCAGTGAGCTGTTTGGCCAGCTCTGTGTGGAAATGGCATGATGTGGGCAGGATCCCCACGTCTTGAGAAGGGTTGCTGTGCCCAGAATGTGCCGCCAAATGCACCAGTTCCTAAAACAAAATCCTCCGTCCCTTTGGACGGATGATTTTACATCACAATTTTACAAAATGCATCACATTTTTACAAAATGCAGATATTCTCTGGGAACAGTCCAAACCTCTGTGGCGATTCCGACACTTTGCTGGGCATCCGGGCCCCTGGGGAGCTTGTTAAAGGGCCAGTGCCCTGCTGTGCACCCCACCTCGATCAGGTTGCTCTGGGCAGCACAACAGCTGTGATTAATGGGCTCCTGGGGGATTCTGATGCAGATTTCCTAGGACTGCATTTGAAGAAATGTTTTGCTGACATTCCTAGCTTAATGGGTTACTTACAAGTTACTTTTTCTCTCCCCATTAGAAGTCTGGAAATGCAGGTTTGAAGGCATCAGGGGGTCAGGGGAGGGATCCGGGTCTCCTATAATGAGCTGTAAATGATAAACAAGCCTGGCTAGATCTGTGACCAAACAGACGGATGGGATTAACAAGCTCTTACCTCCCTGGAGGTCGCAGACAAAGTCCTCTTGGCTTCTGGTCCTGACTTGTTGCCCACGAACTCCGTAGCTGCTTCTCAGATCTTAGTTTTCTCAGTTGTAAAATAAGGGGGCTGTAAATAAGTGGAAGCCCTGGTGTCAGAAGAGGCATCAGAGCTAGGTTTGTATTCCCACTATGTGATTTTGGCGAATTAGAGAACGTTTCGGGGCCTGTTTAACCATCTGTAAAGTGGGGCTGTAAAGTGGAGATTTAGCTGCTAGGGGGAATTAAAGGAATCAGTGTTTGACACATAAGAAGCACTCGATGCTAGTCATTTCTTCTTCTTCTTCTTCTTATTTTTTTTTTTTTGAGGCGGAGTCTCCCTCTGTCGCCCAGGCTGGAGTGCAGTGGCCGGATCTCAGCTCACTGCAAGCTCCGCCTCCCAGGTTTACGCCATTTTCCTGCCTCAGCCTCCCGAGTAGCTGGGACTACAGGCGCCCGCCACCTCGCCCGGCTACATTTTTGTATTTTTTAGTAGAGACGGGGTTTCACCGTGTTAGCCAGGATGGTCTCCATCTCCTGACCTTGTGATCCGCCCATCTCGGCCTCCCAAAGTGCTGGGATTACAGGCTTGAGCGACCGCGCCCGGCCATTTCTTATTATTTTAATAATATCATCTCTGAGGGCCCTTTCAGGACTTCCAGACGGAGTCCACGTCCGTGGGGGACTTCGGAGCAGTAAAAGGTAGCGGCAGGAGGCACCTCGGCCATCGCCCACCCCACTAGCTGGGAGACTCCGGCAGGTTATTCACCCTTCTGCACCTCGCTTCACTCATCTGTATAAAGGGAACAGTCAGAGTAACTGCCTCATGGAGTTACTCCGGGGACTTAGATAATCCAGGGACACACGTAGCCCAGTGCCCAGCACTCGGCTGGAGCTCCATAAAGGTCAGCTATTGTTCTGAAGCGTAGGGCGGGGAGGTTTCATCCTGTTGGGCCGTCAGGCCAGGCTGTATTTAGGTACCCGGTGGGGGCGGGGCGGGGGCGGCGCCGGTGCACGCCCTCTTTTTTTTATTTTTAAAATTTCACCCGGGTCTTGACAACCGGTGCCACCCTGTCCTCCCCTGTTCCCGCCCCCGAGCCAGAGGAGCCTCTTTTAGGTGGGCAGCTGCAGGAATGGTGACTCGGGTTAGCTCAGATGTGGCTGCCCTTAGTCCCCAGCTGCGCCCTCCCCTTTGCCCTCCCCAGCAACCCCTACCCGCCCTCTTCCGGCGCGTGCTAAAGCGAGAGAAACGCCCTCGGGGGAAGATATGTAGCAATCCGATGGAACTTGGAGATCAACGTTGTGTTTTCTTCGCGCCCACCTGAAGTCGAAGGGAGGTGGAGCGGCGGGTCTCAGCCCCTCCCCGACGCCGAGACCCGGCCCCCGCCCCCCGGAGCCTAGTCGCCGCAGGCGGAACCGCCCTGTGCGAGGCCGGGTTTGGACTGCGCGGGAATGGGCGTGGCCTGGGCGGGGCGGGCTCTAGGACCCGCCGGAGCGCCGTGAACGTCACCCGGCGGCGCCGAGGCCCCGGGTTGAGCGGGAGACGCGATCGGTCCGGTCGGTGGCTCCCCGCGGCGGGGCCGGGCCCGATCTCGGGCGGGAACCGAGCCCAGAGCCGGTACTAGGGGAGGGAGAGGGGTGGATTCCCGCCGGGAGGGATCCGGCCGGGCAGGGGGCGGAGTCTTATTCCAACCCAGCTTTGCTTTCCGCGTGTCCCGCTTTGCACTGCCGGCCGTGCGCATCCAGTTGTTTCCCTCTGCGTCCGCGGCCCTGCCCTTTTCGGGGGCACCGCTGTGATCTTTACACCCCCCGAGACAGCGGAGCGAGGGGGCGCGGGCGGCCAGTGGATAGAGGCTGATGCCCCCAAGCACGGACGCCAGCGTCGGGTTGGGGGTTTTTCCCAGCTGCTCTGAGCCTGTGCGAAGCGGGAGGTCATGCCCCGGTTCCCACGGACTGTGGGGAGGGAAGAGACGGTGGAGGCGAGCGGGTTCTGGGCTCCTGGGTGTCTGGAACTACCCTCTGCCCTTGCCCCATCACTCAGGTAGCGGGAAGGATGACCACGCTCACACGACAAGACCTCAACTTTGGCCAAGGTAGGGAGGCTGGACCTGCGGGGTCGGGGGCGGGGGCGTCTGGGCTGGCGGGCTTCCCCAAGCGCACCACCGGCTTGTGCCCCCTGCAGTGGTGGCCGATGTGCTCTGCGAGTTCCTGGAGGTGGCTGTGCATCTCATCCTCTACGTGCGCGAGGTCTACCCTGTGGGCATCTTCCAGAAACGCAAGAAGTACAACGTGCCGGTCCAGGTGAGGCACGTCCCAGAACCACAGAGTGGGTACAGGGTGGACTTTTAAAAACTCTTCGGTCGGGTGTGGTGGCTCACGCCTGTAATCCTGGCACTTTGGGAGGCCGAGGCGCGCGGATCACTTGAGGTCAGGAGTTCGAGACCAGCCTGACAAACATGGTGAAACCCCGTCTGTACTAAAAATACAAAAATTGGCTGGGCGCGGTGGCTAACGCCTGTAATCCCAGATACTCAGGAGGCTGAGGCAGGAGAATCGCTTGAACCTGGGAGGCGGAGGTTGCAGTGAGCCAAGATTGTGCCACTGCATTCCAGCCTGGGTGACAAGAGCGAAACTCCGTCTCAAAAAAAAAACCTCTTCCACTTCAGGCCAAGCCAGCACTTTATTTTTTATTTTATTTTAGTTTTTGAGACTGAGTCTTGCTGTGTCGCCCTGCCTGGAGTGCAGTTACATGATCTTGGCTCACTGCAACTTCCACCTCCCGGGTTCAAGCAATTCTCCTGCCTCAGCCTCCCGAGTAGCTGGGGATTACAGGTGTGTGCCACCACACCGGGCTGATTTTTGTATTTTTAGTAGAGACAAGGTTTCGCTGTGTTGGCCAGGCTGGTATCGAACTCCTGACCTCTGGTGATCTGTCTGCCTTGGCCACCCAAAGTGGTGGGATTACAGGCGTGAGCGCTTTGTTATGAAATAGGTTTTGTGTTAGATAATGTTGCCCAACTGTGGGCTAATGTAAGTGTTTTGAGTGTGTTTGGGTAGGCCTGGCTAAGCTATGATGTTCTGTATGTTACATGTATTAATTGCTTTTTCTACTGGCGATATTTGATGGCTTTATCCAAACAAACAGCAACAAACCCATAGTATCCAAACAACAACAAACCCATAGTAAGTTGTTGAAGGTCACCTTTAGAGGGAAAAGGAAAAAAAAAATTGACATTTACTCACTTTTTCTTTATGATGAAGTGATTGAAGCTCAGAGAAGTTCAGAAATTTACCTGAGGCCACACAGTTCCTTAGTTCTTAACTTTTGAAATCTGATTACGTTTTTCTGGATCCTTTTTCTGGAAGAATGCCCACGTGCACAAAGATACAACTTTAAGGACTTTTCAGACTCTGGAGGAGTCCATGGACCCCACATTAAGAACCCCTAATGGTATATTAAATGCTCATATTGGGATTGAGTTCTTATCTTTTTTTTTTCTTTGAGATGGAGTCTTGCTTTGTTGCCCAGGCTGGAGTGCAGTGGCTTGGTCTCAGCTCACTGCAACCTCTGCCTCCCAGGTTCAAGTGATTCTCCTGCCTCAGCCTCTCGAGTAGCTGGGATTACAGATGCCACCTTATCTGGCCAATTTTTGTATTTTTAGTAGAGACGGGGTTTTGCCATTTTGGCCAGGCTGGTCTGAAACTCCTGACCTCAGGCGATCCACCCACCTTATCCTCTCAAAGTGCCAGGATTATAGGAGTGAGCCACTGCGCCCAGCCTGAGTCCTTATCTTCTAACTTCTTTCTCCATGGATAAATTCACAGTTGTTAGCCTCTTGAGGGAAAGTGGGGTCTTCTGGGTAGGGGACCCTGGAGAGCTGCTGGGCCTCTGACGGAAGGCAGACGGGGCCTTGGGCTCCTGGTCGTGTTGGATGGTTTCCCCATCTATGCTTTGGGCCTCACCAGCCGCATGGTGTTGTGTGCAGATGTCCTGCCACCCGGAGCTGAATCAGTATATCCAGGACACGCTGCACTGCGTCAAGCCACTCTTGGAGAAGGTGAGGGTGCACTGGGCTCCCCAGCCACCTCACCCCATGCTCACCCCTGTCCCTCTATGCTCACGGTCCAACTCTGGGATGGGGTGATGCTAGGACTCTGTGGCGTCTTCATGGCTCCAATACCCAGAAGCCTGTTCCCTGCACTCTGGAGACCATCCCAACCCAGGGCAGGCTCCAAGGCATGTGGGCCATGTGCAGGGTGCCTTGGGCCTGGGAACCTGGGTTGAAGCTGGCTGTGAGTAGGGACTGCCCTGGTGGATTCTAGGTTCTTCTCACATCCGTTTCCTGTTCTCCACACTAAACGTTCTGTCTGAGCTGAGCCCCTCAGGGTTTCTTCCCCATCTAGTCCTGATCTCAGACTTCCTGGGACCTTCCCTATGGGGCCTGGTTATTCCCTCAGCCTGCACCGCTCATACGGGAGGGTGCCAGCTTCTCAAACCCGCGCTATCTGGGCTCTTGGGGACGCCCAGCCCAGACTAGCAGCTGAGCCGGGCTGTGAGTGGGCTGCTTCCCGTCCTTCCTTGGGCAAGGGGGTGGAGGCGGGGTGGTGGAGTGGGGGTAGGGTGTCTGGCTCTGCAGCGGGGGTTCCTGTCCTTGCAGAATGATGTGGAGAAAGTGGTGGTGGTGATTTTGGATAAAGAGCACCGCCCAGTGGAGAAATTCGTCTTTGAGATCACCCAGCCTCCACTGCTGTCCATCAGGTGGGCTGCCCCTGCCCCTCGCCCACTAGCTGGCAGCAGGTCTGTCTCTGGCAACACACCCACCCCTTGAAGGCGGCCCTTGAATACCTTGGAAAAGGCCTGGGAGGAGAAAGGGCAAGATGCGCCAGCCTGACAAGGGGACAGCCTGTGAGCAGCTGAGATGGGTCCAGAGAAATGACATGAGCTACCCAGGGTCACCTGGGTAGGGGCAGAGCCCAGGACACAGAACCAGTTTTCTGACTCCTCAGGCAAGTGTCCAGTCAACTTGAAGTTGACCTTTGGCACATATGTTAGTTGGTCAACTGCATGCCTCTGATGGTGAGGTCAGGGCACTGGAATCTATGCCCAACCTGTCCCCACAGGCTGTGTGGCCTTAGGCAAGCCCTTTCCCCTCCTGGCTTGGTGTCCTGGTTCTTGGGCCTGGCTGCACATTAAAACCACCTAGGGAGGCCTCCTCAGATCGCCTCTATCTCCCCTGCCCCCCGCCAAATTCTGACTTTGTCTGGGGTGGGGCTGGGCATTTCTTGTAAACTCCCTTGCTGGTTTGAATTGTGTGGACCGGATAGGGAGCTGGGTCCTAGGCATGCAGCACTCTCAGAGGCACTGGAGGGGGTTCTGTACCCCAGGTCTACATCCAGGCTTGATGCCTGGGGTGGAGGGGAGGGCGCCAGTGTGATGGGAAGACCTCCTCTCCTCTCAGCTCAGACTCCCTGTTGTCTCACGTGGAGCAGCTGCTCCGAGCCTTCATCCTGAAGATCAGCGTGTGCGATGCCGTCCTGGACCACAACCCCCCAGGTGTGTCCACTCCCCACCCTCTCTTCCCTTGGCGTTTCCACGGTTGTCTCGGGTTGGTCTGTGTCCCCAGGTCCATGTTTGGCTGCTCTGAGACTCATCTCTTCCTAACCCTGAGAGTCCACCTCCTCTGGGAAGCTTCCCTGATTGATTCCACCTGGCTTCCATCTCCCTATTGACTGGGGTTTTTCTTAGCACTTGCTTTGCCATCTGCTCTGGGGGTGCTGCCGAGCCAGCAAGGGAAGTGGGAAGAGGCTGGGCCCAGTGGCAGGCACCAGGGCAGCGGGGGAGCCTCCACCAACCTCTTGCTTCTCCAGGCTGTACCTTCACAGTCCTAGTGCACACAAGAGAAGCCGCCACTCGCAACATGGAGAAGATCCAGGTCATCAAGGTGAGATGAGACGGGTCTGGGTCTGGGTGCAGGCTCTAGAAACGTGATGTGGCAGTTTCAGGCAGGCAGGGGCGTTGCCTGTGGCCAGCCATCCATTATATTGGTGCAGCAGTGCCTGGTACCCAGCAGGTCCTCAGGCCTGGCCACTGCTCCATCTGGGCACTTGGGGCAGTGAGGAGCTCAGGTGGAGCCACCTGCTGGGGCCCCCAGCTCATCCTGGCTCTTCTGAAGTGGGGGCTCTCCAGGGAGGGGTCCTGGCCCATCAGGTTCAGCATTGGTGCCTGGGGCTTGTCCCTTGGGTTCTATGGACTTGGCCTCTGTGGGGGATGGGGGGGGTCTGGGGTCTGCATCACCAACAGCTTCCTAGTGATTCTGAGGCTCAGGTTGTAGGCCCCTGGTCTGGAGTGGGAGGGACAGCAAAGTGAGAGCAGGCAAGGGCCCAGCTCTGTCACCCCCCTGACCTTTGTCCCCTCCCTAGGATTTCCCCTGGATCCTGGCAGATGAGCAGGATGTCCACATGCATGACCCCCGTCTGATACCACTAAAAACCATGACGTCGGACATTTTAAAGGTGAGCTTCGTGGGGACGTGGGAAGCTTATTTAGGGGCTGCTTAGGAAGTGAGGTGCGGCACTGAGGCCTTACTAGAGGGCTTGGGGAAGAGAATGAGGGAGTGCCTGGTGGAGGGCTCCTCCCGTCTCTATTCTTCTCCACCCCGGCTATGGCCACGAGGCCCCACCCTTGGCGGAGATCTGCCCACCAGGTGCTTCTGTGTCCTCCAGCAGGGATGCCCTGGCTGTCTCGCTGACTGTGGCTGTTTGTTTGTGTTCGTCAGATGCAGCTTTACGTGGAAGAGCGTGCTCACAAAGGCAGCTGAGGGGGCATCTGCCACCTCACTGATGCCCGAACTGTCAGACTTTGGGGGATCCCCGCCTAGGGCAGTGCTGCATGGCTGCCCTGATTCCAAGTGCTCTTATCGCCTCTGTGTGTGGATCGCCCGCCCCAGCCCGGGGCCGCTCAGGTCTGCTTGGAGGATGCCTCCCCCAGGAGGCAGTGAAGGATGCCGCAACCTCGACTTCTCAGCCTCCTGGGGTTCCGCCGGCAAACACTGTCTGTCTCAAATACTGTGCTGTGAGTTCTTTCAATAAAGGGGCCCCAAGGGCTGGGCTGAGCTGATGCCATCATTAACCAGAGTGGGAGGGACAGGTATGGCCAGGGGAAAACCTGGTGGGGGGGTGCTGCTTCTCCACCAAAATGCCAGGGACCCCCTCTCCCCACTCCTAAAACCAAACCCAGGCTGATTTTACTGAAAACATGTATTTTTAATTTTTTTATATTTATTTATTTATTTATTTATTTATTTATTATTATTATTATTATTATTATTATTTGAGACGGAGTCTCGCTCTATTATTATTATTATTATTTGAGACGGAGTCTCGCTCTGTCTCCCAGGCTGGAGTGCAGTGGCGTGATCTTGGCTCACTGCAAGCTGTGCCTCCTGGGTACACGCAATTCTGCCTCAGCCTCCCGAGTAGCTGGGACTACAGGCACCCGCCACCACGCCCGGCTAATTTTTTGTATTTTTAGTAGAGACGGGATTTCACCATGTTGGCCAGGATGGTCTCGATTTCCTGACCTCGTGATCTGCCCGCCTTGGCCTCCCAAAGTCCTGGGATTACAGGCGTGAGCCACCGTGCCCAGCCTGAAAACATTTATTAACACAAAACGTCAGAGCTATGTGACAGTAAGTTTCCACAAGCTGGTAGGGTTGAACCGGGGCAGGAGTCGCTGGTACAGGGACTTCACTGCCCACCCCATGCTCAGCTCCTGCATGGAGGAACCTCTGGCTGACCCGGATACAGTATGGACAGCTGTCAGAAAATCTGGAGAACAGCTTGGTAGGGCGATTGGGCAGCCTCCTCCTGTCCATGCTTCTTCCCAGGCTGAGCCTCGGAGGAGGCCTGGTTCCTGGTCCTCTTGTGGCTGACGACGATGCTGCTGTTGGTGACTCGGGGCCCATACCAGCCTGCCCAGTACTGGGTGTCACTGCCCCCGTGCTGAAAGAGGATGTAGCGGACACCCCGGGGGTAGTCTGAGAAGGTGTAGGAGACCTGCCGGGAGGAGGGGACAGGAAGTGACCACCAGGACTGGGGAGGGGAAGGCAGGAGCCAGGTCCTCTTAGAGAGCTGCCCAGGCGGAAAGGCAACAGCTCCAGGCCAGAGAGCAGGGGCACCTTGGGCCCTGAGGCTGCCCCTTGCTTCCTGCCATCCTGGCCCTGGGAGGAGTGGGTAGAGAGAGCAAGTGGGTGAGGCCTCACCTCTGTCCATGCAGCATTGTTCCACTGTTGGATGGTCACAGGTGGGGGCTCGAAGGAGGCCAACACGAAGTAGTCAGCTGAGGTCAGCTGCACCTTGAGTTGGTAGGTGCAGCCACAGTCGGCTCTGGCAGCAAACCTGGTGGAGGGGTTGAGAGCCCTGTGTCCAAGCCACCGAGGGCTGGCCCCAGCACTGGGGGCAGGGGGGACCTACACATTGGAGCTTGGAGCTTTGTTTCCCATCAGCCAACACTGCTCTGCCTGCTAGGCCCAGCTGGCAGCGCTCCCTATGCCCCACTGTGGCCTGGGGGTAAGCAGTTGGTCCATGCTGGCCTCAGTTACCCCATCTGAGAAAAGGGACCCTTTCGGGCATCCTACTAAAGATGTGACCTCAAAAAGCGGAAGACCCCTCCAGAGAGGCCTGGTCTGTCCAAGCCACGTCACCTGTACTTACAATGGACCAGGCTGTGGATTCAGTGGGAGAGTCAAGGGGGTGGCCTGTGTAATGGGGCTGGCACAGAGCTCACCTTCTGCTCAGCCCAGCCCAGCCACCTCTCCCCTCTGCAGCTCTGCATACTCCTCCAGCCTCGCCCATTTATCCTCAGAGTGGCGGCCCTGGGGCCTGCCTAGAACTGGGGTCCTGCTTCTGCCACCGGCCAAGCCAGAGCCTGGCACACTTCTGTGCACAGAGTAGGAGCTCAAAAAAGAGTCATGGGGTGAATAGGAAAAGGAGCCACGGAGGCAGGTAGGTCAGGGGACCTGGGGGTTTCCACCCAGTCCAGAGAGGCCTGAGGTCCTCTGTTGCCCGAGTGCCTGTCAGTGTTGACTGGGCACAGTGGCTCACGCCTGTAATCCCAGCACTTTGGGAGGCCAAGGTGGGTGGATCACTTGAGGTCAGGAGTTTGAAACTAGCCTGACCAGCATGGTGAAACTCCATCTGTATTAAAATGATTAAAAAAATAGCCGGGCGTGGTGGTGGGCAACCGTAATCCCAGCTACTCGGGACGCTGAGGCAGGAGAATCGCTTGAACGTGGGAGGTGGAGGCTGCAGCGAGCCAAGATCGCGCCACTGCACTCCAGCCTGGGTAAAAGAGCGAGACTCTCAAAAAAAAAAGTGCCTGTCCATGACAACCCACCTGGGGCCTCAGCCTCCTCATCTGCACACTGGCGCTGCTGTGTCCTGCTGACTCCGTCACAGGGTGGTGGGGAGGCCAGGAGGTGCCGCAGGGTCTGGGCACAGAGCGGGGGCAGAGGCCAGGGCTACCTGGCTCTAGGACACTGCTGGGCACAGTGGGCACTTGCTATGGCTTGTCTCACCCGGCACAGCAGTAAGACGAGCATGTAGAGTGGGGGACACACGCCATGGACCCTACTCACCAGTCCTTAACCACGATGTCCGGCCGGAATGTGTCCAATAGCTCCTCCCAGTAGCCCTCAGCTACAAGGTCCACCAGCTGGGACTTGAGGCACATTCTGGGGAGCAGAGTTGGGGGCTTGCGTACCTGGGTGTGCTATGCATGGCCCCCCCTCACCCAAGCCTTGGCAGCCCCTGTGAGCCCAGGGAGGTGGTTTGGGGACTTAGGGTATCCTTTGGCCGATGCAGGACAGGCACTGGCTGGGGCTGACTGGTTTCTCCTCCAGTGTAGGAGGGAGTCTGACCCACTTGTGCCTGGGTGGCATCTGATTCCAGTCCAAAGGCCCAGTGTTCCAGGGCACCAGGCAGGGCACTCTTGTAAACTCAAGTTCCTAGCTTAGGGATGGATGCCTGTAGATAGCCCTGGCTTATCTTAACCACCCAATGGACTCCTGGCCTGCTTCAGTGATCCCCACCCCCACTGTCCATGAACACAGCACTGAGTGACTCCAGGAAGCAGTGACTCTGGGCAAGTTTTGGGGCCACCTCCCTTGAGCTTCACAGAGAGGCCTTCCCTTAGAAGACTTTGCCTGAGACTTGGCAAAGGTGTCCTAACCCTCTGTCCCCTCCATGCAAGCCTGGTAGGTTCAGTTTGCCTTACTCGTAGGATGTGACAAAATACTTCTTGACTTTGGGGTCAGGAAAATCTGTCCCGTGGGCTCCAGGGAGGCTCTCCACCTTCCAGCGGTCCCCACCATTGAAATCGATTTGCCATGCAAACATATCCTCTAGGAAGAACAGAAGCCGAGGTGAGACCCCCTGTGTAAATCCAAAATACAGCCCTCCCCACCTGGTCCCGGGAGGGCGGGAGGGAGGGTGGTTGGCGTTAGTGACCTTCTTGGGAGGCAGAATTTGCTCATGCTCAGGTTTCTGGGGCTGTGGACACCAAAGGGTTAACAAGCTTGTTCCTTCTCAAGGGCACTGTGTAGCCAAGGTACCCCACCAGCCCAAGTATACCCCAACTGCACCCTGGAGCACCCCTACAAAGGACCCCTCCAACACATTCCCACCTGTCCTCACCCTATCAGCTCTGACCTGACTCTGTCCGTCCCACACAGTCCCAAACTGGCCTCACTCCTAACACAGAGCTGGAGAAAATGCGTGTTACCAGAAATTCTAAACCAACCCCTTCCTCACTTCCATGTTGCGGTGGAACTCTGGGAAATACCCAAGTATCAGTTCTCAAAAAATGAAATTATGAGGGGCCTGTGAGAGTACTGTCCTCAAAGACTAATGTGAGGCCAGGCACGGTGGCTTGGCCTGTAATCCCAGCACTTTGGGAGGCTGAGGCAGGTGGATCGCTTGAATCCAGGAGTTCAAGACCAGCCTAGGGAACATAGTGACACCCTTTTTTTTTTTTTAAAACAAGTAAAATAATTTTTTAAAAAAGGCTAACAAGTGTTCATCCCAACACAGACTGCTTACTTGACCCAGATGGCACCCCAGATGTCCAGGAGGGAGAGGCCCTTGGTTAACGACATAACCCAGATTGGAGGCCCTAGAGGATGGGTTTGTGGGTTTGTTGGTGGTCATGGGAACCAAGATTCCCATAGGGCCCAGATGGCCCAGGGCAAGAGTGCTAAGTGGAGGAACCGGTACCCTTTGGGCTGGGCGGTGTGGTAACATTCATGGGTGGACATCCATTAGGTGGGCCTGGTGGGTTCAGGGGGGCGATCACCCTCTTCACACTGAACTTAGAGGACCTTAGGAAACAAGGGCGCTTCTCTACCGGTGCTGTCCAGGCAATCACTGGGGCACTTTTCCAATGGCTTGCTCCCCCTCCAGAAGCCCGCTATTCTCAGGTGCTCTGGGGTCCCCAGTAGAGAACCAGAGGAGTAATACAGAAATCTAGGAGCTGGGCTGACGCTGAGTACAGACCTGGGGGTATCTCAGCAAGGCTTAACTGAACACTGCCGGCCCCGGGCAGGCCGGGCTGCAAGGCCAGCTCCGTTAGGCGGTGTGAAGCTGAGTGGGCAGCTTCTGAATGAAATCTGGGGCAGGCAGAGGGACTGAGTGTCGGGCGCTGTCTATGGGGGCTCTGGGATTTGGGGTGGGGGGAGTTTGAGGCCTTTATCTGTCAGGACCAAACCCTGGAAGCTGGGCAATTGTGCATCTTTGGGGAAGTCACTCATCTCGGGCCCAAAGCTCCCCATCTATACAATGGAGTCCACCCTAGTTGTCTTGGCATCTCCCAGGTTCCTCTGTGTGTGTGTGTGTGTGTGTGTGTGAGAGAGAGAGAGAGAGAGAGAGTGTCCCTCTGTCACTCAGGCTGCTGGAGTGCAGTGGCGCAATCTCAGCTCACTGCAACCTCCGCTTCCCAGGTTCCAGCGGTGTTCCTGCCTCAGCCTCCCAAGTAGTTGGGATTACAGGTGCCCACCACCATGCCCAGCTAATTTGTGTATTTTTTGTAGAGACAGGGTTTTACCATGTTGGCCAGGCGGTCTCGAACTTCCTGACCTCAAGTGATCTGGCCTGCCTTGGCCTCCAAAGTGCTGGGATTACAGGCATGAGCCACCGTGCCTGGCCTATTTTTTTTTATTTTAAATTATTTTTCAGAGACAGGGGTCTCACTCTGTTCCCAGGCCTGAAGTGCAGTGGCCCACATCTTGGGCTCACTCAACCCTCCACTCCTGGGTTCAAGCGATTTCCTCCTGCTTCAGCTTCCTGAGGAGCTTGAGATTACAGGTGCCTGCCACCATGCTTGGCTAATTTTTTGTATTTTGTAGAGATGGAGTTTCACCATGTTGCCAGGCTGTCTTGAACACCTGACCTCAAGTAAATCGCCCATCTCCAGCCTCCCAAAGTGCTGGGATTACAGGTATGAGCCACTGCACCCGGCAACTTCCCAGGATCCTGATGAGGATGAAGAGAGTACACAGATAGCAAGGAGGTTCTAAGTACACAAACCAGGTCTCAAAATCAGTTGCTGCCGGAGTCCCAGCAGGAAGTATGGTGTGTCCGGGGTGGATGGTGGCTCATGCCTATAATTCCAGCACTTTGGGAGGCTGAGGCAGGCAGATCATTTGAGCCCAGGAGTTCGAGACCAGTCTGGGCAACACGGTGAGACCCTGTCTCTAATTAAAAAAAATATATATGGGAAGCGTGGTGCCTGGTACATAGCAGGTACCAAACGAAGGAAGGGAAAAGGGAAAAAAATGCCTGGGAAATACAAGAGAATGTAACAGGCTAAGTGGGGACCTTCAGCTGTGATCACAGGCCCCTCTGGATCCTCATTTTGTTTGTCTGTATAATGGGGCTAACAGGAGGATGGGTAAGTACATTTGTAAAGATCTCCCATGAATACCTGACACAGAGGAGGCCCTTGGTCAACATGAGGCAGCTTGGGCTGTACTCTGGGGGACAGGCGGGTCTGCAGTGTGCTTGTTCATTCAACGAGCATTTCTTGGGCACCTGCTATGTGCAGGTGTCAAGTGTTCATCCCAACACAGACTGCTTACTTGACCCAGATGGCACCCCAGATGTCCAGGAGGGAGAGGCCCTTGGTTAACGACATAACCCGCCCCCCCTCACCCAAGCCTTGGCAGCCCCTGTGAGCCCAGGGAGGTGGTTTGGGGACTTAGGGTATCCTTTGGCCGATGCAGGACAGGCACTGG